GCGGGGGGGCGGGTCCAGGCGCGGCTATAAGAAGGGCAGGCGGCGGCGCTCGTGCCGCTTTGCAGACGCCGCCACCCGAAGCCGTCCGTGACCAGCCATGGTGAATCCGACCGTGTACTTCGACATCGCCGCGGATGGCGAGCCCTTGGGCCGCGTCTCCTTCGAGGTCTGGCGGGCGGCGTGGGCGCGCCAGGGCAGCGGGGGTCGGGCGGCGGCGGAGGGGCTCGGCGGGCGGCCGCCGGGAGTGCGGCGGCGGCGCCATTTCCTGCGAGGGGCCATTTTGGGAGCCGGGGGCGGCGGCAGACAAAGGCGGGGGGAGGGGCGGCCGCGCCCTTCCGGCCGCGCACATGCTCGGACCGCGAGCCGTTGGCCACCGCGGGCCCCGCGCGTGGCAACGCCCCTACCGGACAACGGGCGCGGCGCCCCTTGAGCGCCGGAAGGGTCCTCGCGGCGGCCGCCCCCGGGCGTCTTCCCCTCCCCGGGCCGGACCCCGTGACGACGTCAGGGGCGGGAGGGACCGTGCAGAGAGGCCGCCGCGGCCCCTGGCGCGCTCCCGGTCCGGCGGAAGCTCCGGCGCCGCGGCCCGCCTCCCGCGCGGTGACGACGCCTCTGGGCGAGGCCGGCGGCCGGGAGGCCCCGCGGGCCGGGCGGCGGCCTGGGCGGCGGAGCTGCGTCCGCGTGGCCTGTGCCGCCGCCAACGCCCCGGAGGCGCAGGGCGCGGGCCTTCGTGCCGGTCGAGGCGGCCTGTCGGCGGCGCCTGGCCGGTGGCGGGCACTCGGCCTCGTGGGGCCGGCGGTTCCGTGCCAGCCGCCTGCCGCCTGGATCATCTCCTGTCACGGCCACGTGGAAACTTGGCCGCGCCCGGCGCGTAAGGCCGTCCTTTCCGGTGAAGCGGGATCAGCGCGGTCCCTGGGCGAGAGCGGCGGCGGGGCAGCCGGGGGGGGGCGCCTTCCAGGCCGGGGGCAGGGCCGGCCCCCACCAGCCGCTGACAAGAGCGCCCGCCGCCTGGAGCGGAGCAGCCCTGCATCTGCCATTCCTGTCCTTCAGCTGCCGCCGCGGGTGGAGGCGGTGGCCGGGGGAGAAGGTGTCAGAGCCTTGTGGAAGCTTCGCGCTATTTAAGTTATGACGGGCTCTGGATGTTTGGCGAGTCTCGGTCTCCGGTTGCCTAGCTCACCCCCCAGGACTTAGGTTGTCTGGACGCTGCCTATTTGGGATTCAAAGTCACTGCCGAAGCATTCTTTTCTAGTAGAGAGTGGATTTGGTTCAGAAGCCCCTGAAGACAGGGTGATTGGCAATAGAATGTGTAAGCAGTGTTGTTTTTCTCTTACAGCTGTTTGCAGACAAAGTTCCAAAGACAGCAGGTCAGTTCCTTGAACCTTTTGTAAAGGCAGTCCCCTTTAATAGTTGTGTATACATACATAAATCCTTTTTTTTTTTTTTTTTTTAATAGAGAACTTCCGTGCACTGACAACTGGGGAGAAAGGATTTGGTTATAAAGGTTCTTGCTTTCACAGAATTATTCCGGGATTTATGTGCCAGGTATGAAATTCATATATTTTTATTTGGGTTACTTTGGGATTGAGCCAGTTTTGTTCAGAATGTGTAAACATGAGCTGTTAGTGTTCCTTTTTGGTTTCTTGTAAATCTGATCAGTTTAAACTTGCATTTTGAAGTTTGAACCTTACAGGCTTGGCACATTTTCCATTTATGTTGCAAAAGTAACAGGTTTCTCTTAAATTCTAGGGTGGTGACTTCACACGCCATAATGGCACAGGCGGCAAGTCCATCTATGGGGAGAAGTTTGCGGACGAGAACTTCATCCTGAAACACACAGGCCCTGGCATCCTATCCATGGCGAATGCTGGGCCCAACACAAACGGCTCCCAGTTTTTCATCTGCACTGCCAAGACCGAATGGTAAGGACGGGACCGCAGGGCAACAAAGGAGCACAATCCACTGGGCTCCTGGCCTTCCCTGCTGCTGACATCGCTGGCAGCAGGAGACATGGACACCTACGAGCTCAGATAGTGGGTTGTAGAGAGCAAGACCCTGTGAACAGCGAGCCAGGACTCTTGGCTGCTGGATAGTTGGCTTCAACGTAGTATTTTTGGCCTGAGCAGTGTGGGTGAGGGTTATTCCAGCTTATGAACTAGTACGTAACAGGTTGGTGCCTGATCAAGGTACATTGCCCCAGGTGGCACTTGTTTTCCATTGGGGCTTGGTCAGCCAATTGATGATTCTTCTGCTCTGTAATCCATGGGAAACATGCTTTTTAAATATTCCCAATTCAGGGGGGATAGAAAATATCAGTGATGAGAATCATTGATCAGCTGCCTCCTGCACAACTTGCTACTGGGGATTGTGGTCCATTTTTAATCTGTAGGCTAACACTATCCACTGAGCCAAACTGGCTAGGCTAAAAGTTGTTTTGTTTTTAACTGATTTCAGGGAAAGACATCAGTGATGAGAATCATTGGGTATTGATCCCATGAACCAGGCATATACCCTGTCCGGGAATTGAACCTGTGATCTGATTCATAGTCAACACTGAACCAGGCCTAGGCCAAAAGTCTTATCTAATCTGCGTGTGGCTTGTTAACCCTTCTTAGGGGTCCATTAAAACGTTTTAAAATCAGTAATAGAGAATCATTGATCAACTGCCTCCTGCACACCCCACACGGGATCAAGCCTGCAACCCAGGCATGTCATATCCCCTGACCAGGAATGGAACCTATGGCCTGGTTCATAGGTTGACACTCAACCACTGACCTGTGCTTGAAAAGCTACTAATAAACATTTTATTCTTAGGTGGAGAATCTTAAGCCACTTTGAGTCAGGTGTTTCCAGTACTTACTAAATGCTTTGTAAGCTTCCTTTCTAGTGTGCGCTCACGTGCACTGCTGGTTTGTGGGGCTCTTTGCTCATCTTGATGCACAATGCAGACTGCTTGTTCTGTTTCCAGGTTGGATGGCAAGCATGTGGTCTTCGGCCAGGTGAAAGAAGGCATGGATATTGTGACGGCCATGGAGCGCTTTGGGTCCAGGAATGGCAAGACCAGCAAGATGATCACCATTGCCGACTGTGGGCAACTCTAATAAATCTGACGTGTTTTATCTTCACCAGACCATTCCTTCTGTAGCTCAGGAGAGCACCCCTTCATCCCAATTTGCTTGGAATGTTCCATAATCTATATGTGCTCTTGCCAGTTCATTGGGTTCCATCATTTCCTTACCCCTTCCCAGTCTAGCTGGATTGCAGAGTTAAGTTTATGATTATGAAATAAAAAACTATAAACAGTTGTCTGTCCTTTGGGTTTCATTTTAAGCAGTAATTTGTCTTCTAAGGCAGTCCTACTTAGTTTCAGAGTAGTTTTTTCTTCCCTAACCTCAAGATGAGTAAAAGGTAAAATCAAACCAAGTGTAAAGGGTTGTCAGGAACCCTGTGTATGCCCAGCAGGGAGCCTGCCAAGGATGAGCCCAGTGGGGGTGCAAGCCAGGAACACCACCTCACCTCTAGTCCCAACAATCACTTGTATCCTGATGCTGCTTAGGTGGTGACCAGGTGATGGGCTGCTTGGCTTTGTACCTGTTTCCTCTCAATGGCTGTAGAGTTCCTCTTAACAGACTGGTCCTAGGTGTGACCACAGGCCAAGGCTTATTCCTCTAACAAGTGCCTGCCAAACGATATCAATGTACAAGGCTGGGTTTTGGAAAAGCTAGGAGGTGAAGAGCAGAATGCTAGTTTACCGTGATGGTGGTTTTGCTTCAGATGGTCTCGTGTAGTGAGAAGACGTAGTTGGCATTGCCAAACAGCCTGAGTTAACAGATGAAAATGTCCCCACAAAGCTTGCCTTCACATCCCCTGTCCTATGGCAGGTGAGAGGATAGCTGGACTCGGGCACCACAGGAAATCTCCAACTTGGTGATTTACCTGTTTTTTAAATACATTTTTATGGACTTCAGGGAAGAATGGAGAGAAAAATCATTGATGTGCTGCCTTCTGCACTCCTCCACTAGGGATGTGCCCTTAACTAGTATCAAACCTGGGACCTTTCAGTCCGTAGGTCAATGCCCTATCCACTGAGCAAAACCGGTTAGGGCCCAGTTCACATTCTATATCGCTTTTTAAAAAAATGTTGGTTTTAAAAGTTCAGCAGGGGCTTGGCATGTGTGCTCAGTGGTGAGAGTTTCAGCCTGTGCACCAAGTTCAATTCCCAGTCGAGAGCACTTAACCTGGGCTGCAGGTTTGATCCCAGCCCCAGTCTGAGCACCGGTGGGAGGCAACCAATGGATGTCTCGCATCAATGTTTTTCTCTCCCCCCACTTCCCACCCTCCCACTCAAAAATCAATGGAGAAAATATCCTCAGGTGAAGGTCAACAACAAAAAAAGTTCGCACAAGGATAACTGGATCTTCACAGTATAGAAACTTTTCAAAGTAAGTGCCGAGAAAGCCCAATCAGAATATTGAAATTTTCTCTTGTAAGTCTGAGAGCAGAAGAGGTGACGGGATATCTGTGGGTGACTCCCAGCAGGTCCTGGATCTGGGCGGGCAGTAAGGGGGAGAGGAGCTGACGAGAACTTGGAAGGAAAAAAACAAAAAAAGACAATGGGGTGGGCTGGCAGCCCCATCCAACCATCAGTCAGCCTTCATGTCACAAGAGGAGGCAGGAGTTAGGTGCTCCCTGATGGAATCCAATAGGAAGCACATAATTTCACTTATGAAATCAGTTTTGTGAAAAAGCACAATTCCCTGGCCCAGTGGCTCAATTGATTAAAGCAGTGTTTCCCAACCTTCTCTCATGATGAGAATCACCTGGTGGAGTTGTTAAAACAGATTCCTGAATCCCAACTAAGAAGTGCTAAACTAGAATTTTTGGGAACATATAGGTAAAATTGTATACTTAACTAGTGCTCTAAGACAGATTTTATATACAGAGCACTAAGTTAGGTATGCAATTTTACCTATATGTTCTCAAAAATTCTAGTTTAGCACTTCTTAGTTGGGATTCAGGAATCTGTGGTTTAACAACTCCACCAGGTGATTCTCATCATGAGAGAAGGTTGGGAAACACTGGGTTAAAGCATAGTAGCGAGGTTTTGGGTTTGATCCCCAGTCAGGAAACACCTGGACTGGGTTTGATTCCTGCTCAGGGCTCAGAGGCAACTGATTTGTCTCTCACATAGATGTTTATGTTTCTCCCAACCCCCCTCTCTCCCCGCTCCCCCCACTCTTCCTCTCTTTAAAATCAAGCCGAGACCTGTTTGGCTCAATGGATAGAGCGTCGGCCTGGGGACTGAAGGGTTCCGGGTTCGATTCCGGTCAAAGGCATGTACCTTGGTTGCGGGCATATCCCCAGTAGGGGGTGTGCAAGAGGCAGCTGATCGATGACACACTCTCATCGATGTTTCTGACTATCTCTCTCCCTTCCTCTTTGTACAAAATCAATAAAAACATACCCTCAGGTGAGAATATTTAACCCTTTGCACTCAGCTGTCCCCTCTCAGGGGACATCGGAATTCTAGCATATCATTCGGACGTCCCCTCAGGGGAGATTGCAGTTTATTAGTGATTACGGGGAATTGAGTTTCCGCCGCAAAGTAGCGTCGAGTAGCTGGTAGCCAATGTCCGAATGGTTCGGAGTGCAAAGGGTTAAAAAAGGCAAAATGCAACAAGAACCCCTATAGAGCTATTTATAAGAAATATGGGGGATAATAGATCAACCGAAAGACTTGTATACATGCATATAAGTACAACCAATGGACATAAAACTCTGGGGAGGGAGGGTATGTATGGGAGGGAGGGCAGGGGCAAAAAAATCAATAAAATATATTTAAAAAAATATGGGGGAACAGTGGAAAAAATTAAATGCCATTAGGTTGCATTCAGTAAAATCGACAATTAAGAGATGAAAAAAATCAGTCCCTTCAAAAATTAAATTACAAGAAAAACAAAGAGTAAACAAATATTTAAAAACAAGACCTGGCTGGTATGGGTAACAGTTGAGCATCATCAACCCATGAATCAAGAGCACATGCCTGGGTTTCAGGCTCCATCCCAGTAGGGGCTGTGCAGGAGGCAGCTGATCAATGTTGTGCTCTCTCTTTCTCCCTCTCAATGAAAACACTTAAAAAATATAAATTATAAAATAGTGTTTTTAAAAAAGAAACGAGATAGCAACAAAATGTAAGATAAAAATGTTACCTGGATTCTGATTAAAACAAACCAACTATAAAAACATTTATAAGCTGAAACCGGTTTGGCTCAGTGGATAGGGCATAGGCCTTTAAAAAAATCAATAAAATTATATTTTAAAAATTTATGAGACTATCAGGGAAATTTGAATAATGACATGATATACATACATTATATACATAATTTTGATTTTTTTACAGAGAGGAAGGGAGAGGGATAGAGGGTTAGAAACATTGATGAGAAACATCGACAAGATGCCTCCTGCACACTCCCCACTGGGGATGTGCCCGCAACCAATGTACATGCCCTTGATCGGAATCCAACCTGGGACCCTTCAATCCAAAGGTCAGTGCTCTATCCACTGAGACAAAACGGTTAGGCCTAAAATATATTTTGATTGATTACAGAGAGGGAGGGAAGAAGGGGAAGAGAGAGAGAGGCATCAATGATGAGAATAATTCATCGGTTGAGCCTGCAACCTGGGCAGGTGCCCCAACTGGGAATCAAGTGGTAATCTCTTGATTCATAGGGCGATGCTCACCACTGAGCCACACCAGTTGGGCTATTTTTTAAATATTGTTGAAAGTATTACACATGTTCCCTGCCCTGCCCCTGCACACTGACACCTTCTAGCCCCTTTCCACCCACACCCCAGGCTTCCACCACCCTATGTCTGTGTCCATGGGTTATGCATAGATGCACAAAAGTTCTTTGATCTCTTACCCACCCACCCACCTTCCCTCAGTGATTCTGCAGGCGTATGCTTCTATGTCTCTGGATCTATTTTGTTCATCAGGTTATTTTGCTCATTAAATTTCACATGTGAGATCATGTGATAGTTGCCTTTTTAACTGGCTTATTTTGCTTGGCATAATACTCTCCAGGTCCCTTCATGCTGTCTCAGAGTGTAAGAGATCCTTCTTTTTTACTGCTACATATTCCATGGTGTAATTTTTATCCACTCATAGACTTGTGGGCACTTGAGCTGTTTCTAGATCTTTGCTATTGTAGCTATTGTAACTTATGCTGCTGTGAACACAGGGGTGCATAAATTCTGTTTGATGCTTAGGGTTTCTTAGGATATAGTATTTCTAGAAGTGGGATTACTGGGTCAAATGGCAGTTCCATTTTTTATTTTTGGGGGAAACTCAATACTGTTCTCCAGTGGCTGCACCAGTCTGCATTCCCAGCAGGGCATGAGGGTTCCCTTTTCTCCGCATTCCCACCAGCACCTTCTGACAGGAGTGAGGTGGTACCTCATTGTTTAATTTGCATCTCTCTGATGATCATGGCTTTGAGCATTCTTTCATGTCTCTTGGGCATCTATATGACCTCTTTAGAGAAGTGTCTAGATCCTTTGCACATTTAAAAAAAAAAATTATTTTATATGTTTTTATTGATTTTTCTGTAAGGGAAAGTGAGATAGAAATATCGATGATGAGAATCACCCATTGGCTGCCTCCCATACACCCCCCACTGGAAATCAGCTCATAACTTGGGCATGTGCCCTTAACTGGAATGGAACTCGGGACCCTTCAGTTCACAGGCAGATTCTCTATCCACTGCACCAAACGAGCCAGTGCCTTTGCTCATTTTTTAATTGGATTGTTTGTCTTCCTTTTGTTAAGTTGTATGAGTTCCTTATATATTTTGGATATTAAACCTTTATCAGATATATTATTGCCAAATATGTTCTCCCATATAGTGGGCTCCCTTTTCGTTTTGTTGGTTTCTTTGGCTGTGCAGTTCTTTATTTTGCCGAAACCGGTGTGGGTCAGTGGATAGAGCCTCGGCCTGCGGACTGAAAGGTCCCAGGTTCGATTCTGGTCAAGGGCATGTACCTTGGGTTGCGGGCACATCCCCAGTAGGGGGTATGCAGAAGGCGGCTGGTCGATGTTTCTCTCTCATGGATGTTTCTCTCTATCCCCCTCTCTTCCTCTCTGTAAAAAAATCAATAAAATATATATTTTTAAAAAAGTTTATTTTGATGAAGTCATATTTGCTTATTTTCTCCATTTCCTTTGCCCTATGAGCTGTATTCATTCGTAAACATATTACTAAGAGAGATGTCTGAGATTTTGCTGCTTACAGTTTCTTCCAGGATTTTTATGATTTCACAACT